TCAACCAAGAGTAGTTTAATGTTCTTTTGTACATAAAAAAATACTACAAAAAAATAATGTTTCCCGAAATTTACGAATTAAAACAGAACTGTATTTTGTTCCAATAGAATGTCTTAAAAGTATAAAGAAAAAAAACTATTCCTGTTATTTCTGTCACCTCACTTTCTTAAAAAGATCGAGTTGCCTTTAAAATACTACCACCGTTTTCTTCCTTTAGCAGCCAGTTTTGTAGGGCATTTCTTGTCGTTTCTTTTCAGACCGCCTGTAAAAAAGAAGAGATAATCTCACATTTTCTTGTTTTCTCCAACAACCACTATATTTGTATTTGGGAATGGGTAATAAAAAGGGCCACGTTTTTGGAAGGATTACTGTTTCTTCTTATTCGTCGGTAAGGACACAACTGTGCGGATTATTTCTGCTATTACGCCAAACATTGAGGGGCTTAAGAGAATGAACAAGTATTTGGATTAGACTGAATACTTGAAGTAAGCGTTTACTGCAGTTTCAATAATGAGTCGGGAATCAAGACAATACTCTCCTTTTTATTTCCCAGTAATTCGGTATTTATAACAACAACATTCCTGGAATTAAAGTTATTTTTCCTTTCATGAATTTATATAACTATTTCAAATTGTTTTATCGAAGCTTTTCTGCTAAGGAAATTAAAATTTTTTCAGTTTGATTGTCTTAAACATAAAATTAATCTGTAATATTAAAATAAATATTCCAAACAATCCGATTGAAGCAAATGATGTACCTTAAATATAAAGGATCTAAAGCAATTGCGCAAGGAAATTTTTAAACTTATTTCGTGCCTATTTGGGAAAAAAGTCGTGTAATAAACACTCAATTTAAAAAGCACTATTTCTTTAATAGATTGATTTTCGTTGATTTATAAATATAGATTGAAAAACAATGTTATCCCGTTAATAAAAGTATTTTGATTGTCTGATTCAGATGTGGTACTAATTAATCTCCGTAGTAGAGGTCCATGAAATTTTTTTCAAAAACGCTACGTACTCTTGGGAAGATAGATCTGAAAGCTAAAGGGCTTGGGTGTATCAACCAAGAGTAGTTTAATGATCTGTTGTACATTAAAAAAATATTACAAAAAAATAATGTTTTCCCGAAATTTACCACTTAAAACAGAACTGTGTAAGTTACCAATTAAAACAGAACTGTATTTTGATACTGTAGAATGTCTTAAAAGTATAAAGAAAAAAAAAATTCCTGTTATTTCTGCCACCTCACTTTCTTGAAAAAATCGAACTGCCTTTAAAATACTACTACCGTTTTCTTCCTTTAGCAGCCAGTTTTGTAGGGCATTTCTTGTCCTTTCTTTTCAGACCACCTGTAAAAAAAAAGAGATAATCTCACATTTTCTTGTTTTCTCCAACAACCACTATATTTGTGTTAGGGAAAGGGTAATAAAAAGGGCCACGTTTTTGGAAGGATTACTGTTTCTTCTTATTCGTCGGTAAGGACACAACTGTACGGATTATTTCTGCTATTACGCCAAACATTGAGGGGCTTAAGAGAATGAACAAGTATTTGGATTAGACTGAATACTTGAAGTAAGCGTTTACTGTAGTCTCAATAATGAGTCGGGAATCATGACAATACTCTCCTTTTTATTTCCGAGTAATTCGGTATTTATAACAACAACATTCCTGGAATTAAGTTATTTTTCATTTCATGAATTTATATAACTATTTTAAATTGTTTTATCGAAGCTTTTCTGTTAAGGAAATTGAAATTTTCTCAGTTTGATTGTCTCAAACATAAAATTAACCTGTAATATTAAAATAAATATTCCAAAAAATCCGATTGAAGCAAATAATGCACTTTAAAAATTAAAGGAAAAAAAATATGTTAACTCCATTTCTTGTTCGCTTTCGCTCGTTGATTCCCAGAACTGCTTACCTTCCAGCGGAACTGCTTGCGTATTTCCGAAACTGCGTGAAGAGTGAGTGAAGAAAGCATCGCTCTGCCTAGTCATCTTGTCAACCCTATATTCTACACTTTATTATACTTAAAAATTTACATTAACTATAATAAAGACTAATTTAACATCTGAATTGATCACAAAATGCAACCAATCAGGAAATCTATTTTACCGTGAAATCCATTTTTACCGTAAAATATTATACTGTAATTTTTACACTAACATTTATTCAATTGAAGTGATTCAGTTATTACTGTGAAAATTAAGGTGTATCAGGTTTTTTGATGCAAAATATGCTTCTGTAAAAATTTCGAAAATGAATTTGACGGTTAAAAGTATCAGCCCACTGAGTGCTGGTGCTTTCGTAATTTGGCCCAGAATTTTTTACTGCGAAGTTTTTATGAACAAACATGCAATTTTTCCTACATATTTGAATTCTTCCCCCTTTAAAAAGGAGAGGTTGAAGAAATTAAATTTACTGCGTATGCAATAAATTATATGTTTGAAACGAAATGTCTGAAAACTGACTATATGAACCACTAAATCACTTAAAAATTATGCCTTGAAATTTATGGACAAACTTAGGCATAAGAACTCTAAACTGAAAAAGAAAAAATAATTTTTCTGTTAATAGCTTTCTCTAAACTGAATACCGCATCAAAAATTAAACTTCAATTCTGGTATAAAATAACTAGGAAGAAAATTAACGCTTCCATTTTCTTTTGTCAAAAAATGTCTTCTATTGGAAATGTGGAAAATTTTATTCAACTAATAATTTTTGAGCAATGAGGCAGAAAGTTGTCAAACCGTCGTTATAAACTAATTAATTTTGTAAGACGAAACCGATCTGAAATTTAAGCAAAATGAAATAACTTGAACATTATCAGGCATAATTATATAAGAACAGGTATAAAGTAGGTACTTATGTCTGTAGAATAGAACAGAAATATTAACAAAAATGCATCTATAATTAGTGAAATATTAAATGTAGCATATTTGAAATAACGGTTTTTAAATTATCTGAGAAACATTTTTCCTTCCTTAAACATTCAATTTGGATTATTTAGAATGACTTAACATATATATAAATGCAAAATAACAGATTTTTTTTAAAGATCATTTTCTTATTTTAAAAAAAAAATATTCCAGTTTTTCGATAAGTAATTTTGGCTTATATAAGCAAGTTCATTTTACAACATAGAAACGATAATGAAAGTATAGACATAAAATTATATAATTAATGACGCAATTTTTAATATTTTTTGAAGTACAAATGAAATTTTTTGTCTTCCTAATTAGAAAAAAACACGGTTAAAAAGTCACTGCTATGAAATCAAAATAATTTTTGAGAAAAAATTATGTAACTAACAATGTAACTGTTCTTTGTTTCAATAATCTTTTCATTTTCTTTAATTAGTAAAGCAAAATATGTTTTCTTCGAAAAAAATGCTTTCTTTGTTAATGATCTGAAAGCATGAAAAAAAAGCGCTTGTACAATGGGAATTGGCATTACTTATTAACTGTTTTTCAAATCTTCTGTTGAGTTAAAGCTTTTTTTAGAAAAGAAATATAATTGCAACAGTAATAATCTGAGGTTTTGTTTCAAATATATTTATTTCTGATCTTGAAAAAAGATTTGCTACATATTATTTTTTTTACTTATTTTCAAATTAAAATTGAAATAAATTGAAGAATGTCTATTATATTTTAAATGCACTGCTATTAAGCTCCTAAAAATATATAAAAATAATAAAAATTCTTAATGTTTCATATTAGAATGCCAGAATAAACTGAATTATTTACTGAAATATCTACAGGGCTTTTCTAAAAGACCGGCCTTCAATATGTATCTTTAGAATCCTTTACAAAAATAAAAACAAAATAGAGAGCACTTTGTGAATTTTTAATTAATATTTAAGTACGGGAAGAATAAAAACGTTGTTGAAATCTGACAAATTTCAGCTCAAGAATTCAAATGTAATAAAGATAAAAAAAGGATGAATTTGGAGGCTGCACTTGACTATGCTTTTACTCATCGTCTTTCACTTCCTCTGTATTTCCTACCATGAAATTTCACTTCCTCTGTATTTCCTACCATGAAATTTCACTTGTTGTTTCTTGCACCTTACTTTTTGCAAAGTTGTTTTTCAGATTTTTATTTCATATTTGCTTTTTTCGGCAGTCAATTGTTAGTTTATGACTTTCAATGAGTATGTTAGTTTATTTTCAATCCTGATAAAGATTCTAAAAATATACATTAATGACTGTCTTTATGGAACTTCATGTATTTGTCGCCAAAATAGTTTCGTTTGTTCAGGTAGTTAAACAGTTTTTAGTATCACTAAAAAATTTAAAAATAAAATATGCAAGTACGTTCCAAATGAAGTAATTAATTTTTTTTTGTTTATTTTCCTGTTTTTGCTTCATTCTACGAGCACCGAAATATTAAAAGATTCCGGATTTAGAGATGGTCTTTTATTATTTTTTTTCACATTTCATCCTAATATTGTGCTAAAGGTCAGACCTTAGTCTTGTATAAAACAGTAGTCAAAATCAGTACAATAAGGGCAACCTAATACGTTCAAATTGACTTGATTTAATTGAGTCTCATTTTTATTTTTATTCATTTATTTACTTACTAGCCGCCTAAGGCGACCAGCTGTCCGCCAAGCTAAAGGGTTTCACAAATAAAGTTTTTTGAAACATAGCAGGAAATCTGAAGATTAGTGGACAATTAAAGTGTTCCTGTCCTGCAATTTTGTCTTCATATCCAGTTCTGCTGCAGATGTGTCATAGCTCTTGAGGATGTTTGAAGATGTAACTTTGCTATGGTAACCTAAGGCCTATGGTAACCTACCCTATAATATAACTATCAGGTGGAGACTTGTTTTTTTTTTAAAAAAAGGCCTCAGAAATTGTAAAAGCATACAAAAGTTGCTTTCGAAATCATCATTGGCGAATAGCTGAAAATTAAAACACAGTTAATAACATATTTAAGAAACAGCAATAAAATAAAACTTGTGTCAGTCAGCATACAGATAGTATATAATTCTTCCTATTCTTGTAAAACTTCTTTATAAACAATATTTTTAGTTTTTCCATTTAGTGCCAATAAATATAAGTTCTTTTCATCATCAACTCTTGAGCAGCCAACAAAAAGCTGTCCATGTGAAAAGCAAGGGTTCTGCAAGTCAAGACCAACGACTTTTAAAGATTGTCCCTGAGATTTACTTATACTCATCGCGAAACAAAGTCGAACAGGAAACTGAAGTCGTTTAAACTGAAACGGAAAGTCTGAAGATATGAAGGGGATGAGAGGAATAAGCACACTATTTCCTGTTGAATGTCCTGTTATAATCATGGCTTCAATAACATTGGGCATCAATTTTTTCACAATCAATCTTGTTCCATTACACAATGCAGGTGGATCCAAATTTCTTAAAGGCATAATTGGTGCTCAAATTTTCAATTCTAATTTATGTTCAGGCACTCCAGGTGGTTCCAATGAGTTCAAAAATTCTGTCGGATAGTTGACAACTTGATCTATTTCCATGATAGCGTCGATAGACTTGTAAATTTCCAGAGCTCCAGGTAATTTCTTTAAAAGTTTGTTATTTATCACGGCTCCAGAATTGCTTGTCGAAATTCGGTCATGTTCCACCCTCCTTTGACGTTCCACAGACGTTTCTTGGGCCCTTCTTCTTCTTTGAGAATCTCTTAATATCTTTTTCTTTGACAAAATACAAAGTTTTTTGGAAGGCGGTTCTGCTATGTCAGTAATCGGGTTTTTAAGAAGTCAACGAATACTTTAGAACAACAATTACTATGAAAGCAAATCATGAAACTTCAATATTAAAATCTAAGTGCTTACCTGCAAACTGAAACTTTCTGAAAATAACTAATAACATTTAATAAAAACTGTTAAAATAAAGACCAACCTGGATAAAACCAAAGAGATCCAATGTAAGTGTGGTCGTTCCTTCAAAAATAATTAAATTCCTATTTTATATATTATATAGCTACAACGCTTAAAAAAAACTAAAATGCTAAATACATGTAAAGAACTCGAAAACGATTTAATTTTTTATGGTATCAATTTCTATTTCTACATCGCTACAAAAATTATCGTCTTCGCTTAAGAAAAAAAATAGAGAGTGGAAAGAAGAAGAAAAACTTATTGTAACAATTATGAACAGCGACAAATATATCAAATCGAAGCGTTTTATTTACGTATCGAATATGTTGCCACATTTTTAACACAAAAGTTAAACTTTTCTCCACTTTGATAAATGTAAACTAATGCGAACCTTACAATTAAATTATTAATTCCTTCGTATATTACTGGTTTAAGTTTTCGAAAATTAATATTTCAATTGTAAGGTTCGCATTAGCATACATTTATAAGAGTGGAGAAAAGTATATGCGTTTTTGAATATGGCTCTTTGAAGACGAAAAAGCATAGATTTTCTTACAAAATGACTGATAACTAAAAAACTAATCCAAATTTTTGAAAAAGAAAAAAAATACTTCTTCATTATGTCAAAACACAATTATGTGCCGAGTTTCGTGCCTGGGCGAGGCTTCTGGGGCGATATATTGTGATTACAGACACACACACAGCCGCGTTTATAATTATGTATAGATTTACCAATTTCCCTTTTTATGAACAAATTTCTTTGCTTTTTTTCTTATTTTATTTAAAAATTGACCTAATGAAATTGACCAGTGATGAAGAAGAACTGTTTAAATTGAAAATAAAGATTCAGTGAATAAATATTTTGTTACGCTTTAATCTATTTATTTTAAGCCTGGGTAATTTCCAATTGGTATATATAACTAATTCAAAAAGATAAACGATTTTTTTTTCTAGCGCAATCTAATATTGTTTTCCTAAATCACGAAAAAATGCCTACATATGAGTTGTTGGATAATAACTGTTAACTTTATTTTTTTTTCTTTTGTAGGGGGGTCAATATATTCATCCTTTGACACAGAAATTTTATTGAAAATATTTTTCATACTTTTTTTTTAATATTGTATATTAATTTCAGTCAAAACAAGGGAAAAGCAATACTTTAGCTGTTTAATAATTTAGAGTTATGAAATACAGCATGAAGCACATTTGACTTTTTGTATGCTAAAGGTAAAATATTCCAAACTCGGCCCACCTCTAAATAACTTTTGTTTTCAATTTTACAATTATTTTTCGCAGTTATTTAGATCTAAAAATACAGTTATTAGGCATGCAATTTTTTTTAATTTATGAAATCAATTTGCGGATAAATTTTAGAATAAGAAGGAATTGTTTTTTTTCTTCAAATTACACTCTATAACAAAAAAATTGACGCACCAAGAAGCAATCATCCGATTGCTTTGAAATTTCGTATGCATGAATGTTTTGAACAGATATGGCTGGAATGATGCCGACTGGGGACGTATAGTCTTTAGCGAAGAATCCCGCTTCCAACTGTGTCCTGACGATCATCGAAGACGAGTTTGGAGAATAACAGGGCAGAGGGGGGATCCTGCCTTCACTATTGCACGCCACAACGGCCCTCAACAAGGCATTATTGCCTGGGGTGCCATTTCCTTTGACAGTCGGACCCCATTGGTCGTCATTAGAGGTACACTTACTGCACAGCTGTACGTCGACGACATCCTAAGACCTGTTTTGCTACCGTTCCTTTTGCAGCTCCCTGGGCTAGTTTTTCAGCAGGACAATGCATGACCACATGCGGCACGTGTGGCTATGAACTACCTGCAAGCTTGTCAAACTCTTCCTTGGCCTGCCAGATCACCAGATTTCTCTCCCATCGATCATGTCTAGGATATGATGGGAAGGCGATTGCATCTGGCACGGAAAGTTGATGGCTTCGTTCGACAATTGGATCGAATTTGGCAGGAAATACCGCAAGTGACCATCCCAGAGCTTTATCGGTCTATGCCACGCCGTGTGGCGGCTTGTATCCAGGCTAGAGGCAGGTCAACACCTTATTGAACTTGTTACTGTAACTCTGCAATAAATTATTCAATTGTTCTGAAATTTCAATCATTTACTATTCTGTACATTGTCTTCCTATCCATTAATTTTCGTTTTAATCGAGCAACTCCTTCTTGGTGCGTTGATTTTTTTTTTTTATAAAGTGTACTTTACTTGTATTTTATATTTTAGAACAAATATAATTCCGATAATCTGACAGATATTTTATGTAGATACCTTATTTTTTATGAATAAAAAAATGTTCGAAAACATAGTTTTGCTTGTAATTAGAGTGTCAGAGAAAATACATAAAAGCTCCCCATATGAGTCAAGCGAATATTATATAATCAGTACTGAGATAAATTTCAGCACATTTTCTGTCCAGCACATTTCATTAAGGCACAATATACTGCGATGAAGCAAAGTTTTTTGAATGAATAATAAGGCTATTACTTTCAATTAATATCATAACCTCTTCTACCACTTTACCGTTTCATTTGTAAACAGAATTACAATAAAATCATAAATTCTAATGCAAGAATAAACTGGAAAAAAAAAACTTTGATCATTTAATGATTTTTTTTTCTTTTTTTTTTTGAAATATGCGATTATTTCTGCTTAATCAAAAACCCATTTATATCAGTGTTGAAAAAAAATGAAGACTAACAGAACTCACATTTTTTCCCTATTTCATTAAATTTAATCAGTTGACTTCATTTAAATTAAATTATACAGCACTTGCAGTTCATTAATAATTGAACATCAAAACATTTATATATTTATTTATTTATGTGAAGTTTTACGTTGAAAACTATTTTTTTCGATTCAAACGAAATAACAAGTTTTTGTATTTGAGAATTTTACGCAGTGTCTTAATTTCTTTTCACGGTAAGTGATGAAAAAATTGTTTGATAAATATCAGCTTTATTCATTTTTGTTTTCATCTAAATCAAATATAGTTTTTTAATTTTAAAACTAACGTCATTTTTGAAAGTACATGCATCAAAATATTTTAATAAATTTCATATTTGTTTTGAAAGGTATTTAAGTATTTCGGGTAAAACCATTAGAAGTTTAAGTGGATTCCATGTAACGCTAATTTTGATTCGTTTCAACAAGAAGATCTCCATTAAATCTGGTTTGTCCAGTTACTTGATGAAAGAGTATTTTTTGTCTCCTATGTTGAGTACAAAATTAAAATGAATATTAAATGAAATGAAGTGAAAATTATGAAATAAATTAGACTTAAATTAAATGAATTAAATTAAATAATTTTCTTCTGTTTCATTCTTTTACAATTTATCTTTCAACTTATTTGTATTTCAGTAAAATAGTTCACGTGAATGATTAAAAATGCAGTTCACGTATCAATTTTACTACCGTAATTACTTTTTAGTGCATTTGTTCATTTTAAGTAGAGATTTAAAAATTGTAAAATAATAACATGTTTTAGCAATATTGTTTTGCAAATCTTCATTGTTAAATAATTCAAACGAAACAAAATTAAGCTACAATATTTTCAAATCAGTAGTTCAAAAGCAATCTATAGTTTCAGATTCAAAAGTCATTCAGAGAAAAAACAAAGAATTAAACATGCAGTGTGATGTGCTCTACCAACTTTTTATTACTAAATTTTTGAATTCATTACAAAATTCATCAGAAAATAGCACTGCTTACTAGAAGTTTTTATTCCTTTATTTTTCTTTCATTTTTCAAACATTTAGTCAGTTTTTAAGCACTTTAGAACGTAAAATAGAATCTCTGCAATCGTTCTTAAAATTATGTTTTTCTTTAAAATCTGTTACGTGTTTTTAGGTTAAAAATGCTTAAACAAAAGCCGCAACATGTTATTATGGGCTTGCAGTTTGTTTTATAATAGGAAAAAGAGGAGAAATATTTTACTCTTAGTATTTCATTTAAAGAACGCTAAAATTTAAAAATATTGGTATCTCCAAATTTCTCAAGAAACGCAGTATTTTTCTGCTTTTTTTATTATTATTGATGCAATTTTCAGTTTCTGTTCTGTCGTGTTTGAAACATTTTTTTAAAAAATTATATAAGTTTTGGAAAAAAAGAAAACAATGAGTTCTTGAAAAAAATTATATAAAAATTATGAATTTGTGACTAAATTAAATGAACAAAAAATAAAAGATAATTAAAGCATACTCACAACAAGATATTAGGAACTAGGGGTCAAGAAGGTTAAAGGGTCAACAATTTCAAAATTAGAAACATAATGGTGGCAACTTGGACAGTTTTGTAACAGGACAAGACCCATCTATCTGAACCTGAAATTACTTAAATCCGCCACCAGAAATAGTTTCCCAGTATTTTGGGAAAGAGAGCTCATTTTCTTTCTAAATACTGAGTCATACTGACTTTTTCAAATTTGCTGTTTTACTGTTTTTTTAAATCATCTTTTTTATAACAGTATAATTTTTTGCGAAGTTTAAATTTTTGTAAGTGTC